TACAATTACGTGAGTATTTGGCTCAGCGGTTTGGGCACTGTTGGATTGCCAGAGGTGGAGCAGTTTGTTGGCCTCCTAGGTCACCCGAATTAACGTCGCTAGATTTCTTCCTGTGGGGACATGCAAAGTCTGTGGTTTTACGAAACTTCAGTAGAAACAGAGCAAGACTTAATTGGACGAATTACAGTAGCATTTGAAATCATTCAAAACGAGTATCAAATTTTTAGTCAAGTCCGCTGAAATCATGTGCGACGTTTAAATCGATGTATTCAGGTTGGAGGAAGACATTTTAAACATTGTTGTGATGATATCATGTACAAAAGCAAAAATTAAATGCATTAAATCCTATTTAGGTAATTCATCGTATCTCTAACTTTTAACGCGTCCCTATAGGTACTCAAATGTTACACTGAATAACCCCTAGAAGATTGATCCCTTAGTTCTGAAACATCGTGTATAGTATTTCAACGTATAAGCACAGATTATATGATAGAATTCTTCTCAGCATTTTTAGTCATTTCAACATTTTTAACTTCTTTTTCAACTATTGCTTTGAACGACTGTTTCCAACACTTTCTGTCTGATTTGTTTCATGGTATGCTTAGAGTAGGGTGTCCAGCCTATAAAGGCAAACAAAGTTTCGTTCGAATTCAGGTATAGGGCTGTGTTTTTTTTTGAGATGAGCTAAATCGTTACTTTTAGCAATGTCTATGTCACTTTTTAACAGAGCTAATTAGAAATCAACGCAGAAAATTTTTTTGCGAACAATCTCTTCCATCCCTCAACTTTGGAGGGCAGTGAAAAGAATTGAGGTTGTATTTCATTAGTCATGTTATTGTAAAAACTATTGAAATCCATGTAGAATAAACTCTGAAAATTTCAGCTTGCTGCGATAAGTGCCTCACCTTAAAAAATGTACATGTTTAACGCAGGTGGGTATCTACGTATACATGTAAACAAGAAATTCTATTTTACGAGCTACAGTCCAAACGTCGTGATGGACTTTGACATATGAGGCACTGTTAGATTCGTCCTAGCATTGCGAGTGATACTGTGTGTATTAACATTTTGTAAGATCAAAATGGCGGACTTTTTACGCAAATAGCCAAATCAGCTTAATGAGCTTGGGCATTCGACTCGGGATTCCAGGTGCGGGAGCGTTCAATCTTCGGTCTGCTAGAAACTATTAAGTCAGGCAATAGTGCAGCGTGGAATTTGTATCTAACGTTTGGCGACTGACTGACGATACGGTCCTTAGCTCAACAATTAACAATTTTAAGCATACGAACCCGCGGGTAACATCTAGTCATCCAATAAAAACCTTTAATTCACTGTACCTACATGCCTGAACCCTTGTATGGAACTCGGTGTCGTCTTCTCATCTGCATGCGCGGAGCTGACCAACAACTCGACCGTTTGTGCCGATTGCACACCAGCGCCATTCTAGTCATGCCGGTATTCAGTGTCCAGCCGTATTTGGCAGGCCAATGGCTACCATCTGAAAGCATCGATTCACCGACACGCTTGTTTTTCTCACTGAATCTCAGCTCTTGACAAATACTTGAGTCCCTATTGCATTTACCTAAGGCATGCCGAGCTTAATTAATGAGGTATCGGATGCTTCTATGCGGACACGGTGCCCATTCATGCCGTAATAGGGGTGCATTCAATATCAAATATGTCAGCTGATATTGTGGACAAGATGTATAAGATTATAGATTGCAGCATGAAAAATTCACCGGACAATATAGCTACCAACTTTCCAGGTAGGGAATATAGTCTTAACAAAAATAAACGTTAGTACTGCTAATTACTGACAAAGCAAAAATCTGAGCCTACTTATTTTTTTACACGGAACAAGAAACGTCGAAAAATAAAAATAACACGAAACACAAGTATACTACACACCCAGTTTAAATGGTTTTATTTTAATAAAAGTTAGTGAATGTATTTATCTTACTGTAAATAACAAGTGAAAAAATGTTCAGCCTTATCAGTTGGACATTCCGGTTTTTATGCTGCTTTCTTTTAATTCACTAACGCTCTAAAAATGAATATTTCAGCCGCAGTAAAGCATCAACGTTGGCGGATTTTGGTTCTTGACATCCTTTACGATCGGTTAGGATGCCTAGAGTACGGAGACCTGTACGATTTCGTCAACTTAGTGAGTTTGATAGGGGCCGTATAGTGGGACATCGGGAAGCTGGACTTTCTTTTCGAGCAATTGCAGTTAGAGTGCAAAGAAGTGTAGACACTGTGGTTAGGTGTTGTCAGGCATGGCTTCGAGAAGGCCGTACGCAAAGATCAAGCGGCACTGGACGCCGCCGTAGAACAACAGACCGTGAAGATCGTCGCCTAAGATTATTGGCCTTAAGGGACCGTTTCTCCACTACCAGGTCCATTGCAAATGAATGGTTTGCAGAACACGGAAGACCTATTGGCATACGATGTCTTTACCGACGAATGAGAAGTTTTGGCTTGGCCACATTGGGTCCTCCCTTTAACTCGAGAACACCGACGTAATCGCCTTGAGTGGTGCAGACAACGGTCACTCTGGGATCAGGAATGGAACAGTATTGTCTTTAGTGACGAGTCTCGATTTTGTTTAGGCATGCACGACGGTCGTGCCAGGGTTAGAAGGCGACGTGGTGAAAGGAGGAATCCACAGTTTTTTGTTGAAAGACATGTTCATCACACTGTTGGAGTTATGGTTTGGGTTGCTATAGCTTATGGTTCCAGGTCATCTTTAGTCTTCATCAGAGGTAACATGAACGCGCAGCGTTGTATCCACGAAGTTCTAGAACCCCATCTTTTACCTTATCTTGACACCCTGGCAGATCCAACTTTCCAACAAGATAATGCCCGACCACATGTTGCAAGAGTCACAATAGACTTCTTTCAACATAATGATGTCACATTGTTACCATGGCCACCAAGATCTCCCGACTTATCCCCAATTCAGCACGTGTGGGATATGATGGGTAGGAGATTGCTCAATTTGCAACGTCCTCCTCAGGCTCTAGAAGCACTTCGAGAGGAGTTGGTGGTTGCCTGGAATGAGATACCACAGGAGGACATTGACCACCTGATCAGAAGCATGCCTAGGCGCGTTGGAGAATGCGTAGGACATCAGGGTGCATCCACACATTATTAAAGGTCAAAGGACTTTAAAGCACTCATTTACTTATTATGCTTCATTAAGTACTTATACAAAATTTTATTAAAATAAAACCATTTAAACTGGGTGTTCGGATTTATATGTCACTTAGTATATTTCATTGATAATACAAAATTAATACCCAATGCTGAAAAGGAATCGCGGAATGAGCTTTATTTATCAAATAGAAGGTGGTACAAATAAAGTAAAAATAAATTATAAAGAAAATGGCAGACGCAAATGGATAAGTAAACGATTGGTGATATCTACAAATGAAAAACAAAGACTATAAATTAATGAAATAATTACCAACGAAAGAGAACATGGAAATTGTAATCAATACAAAAATTACAAGGGTACTATGAAAGATTTGCAATATGACTTAACAAACGGTTTAAGCATAGACCAGCGCTCAGAAGAAATGATGTTTGCATTAAAGAATGATTGGCCTCATCGTAAGACTATATTCAGGTGGTACATATAATACCAAAGGGACAATTTCACTGTGGAGGACACTGAGACTGAAGGAAGACCTCGAAAGTCAATAACAGAGGAATACGTTACTGCTGTGAGAAAAATGCTTAACGAAGACCGAAGAGTGACATACCAACAGATAGAGGAGACCTTACACCTTCATGCACCGGCAATTCGTTCAATTCTGCTTGACCATTTACACGAAAGGGTTCTCTCTGGGTACCGCATAGTCTGACGAAAGGGCGGAAGACATGTTTGATAGGTAAAGGGCAATCTCGATATGTGATTATTTTGATGTGCCGACCAAGGCTCAAACACTCCCGGAGCTATCAGAAAATCCCGAGCTGTTAAGAAAAAATGATAGCTGTAGTTTTGGGCACACAGAAGACAGTCACAGCTAAGTGGTACATGGAACAGTGCCTGCCTAAAGTCTATGAAAAGCCTGCGGTCAAAGTCAAGAATGGACACTTGGTACCTTCACTATGACAACGCTCCAACTCACCGCGTCAAAACCTGCACCTGTATTACAAAATTTTCATAGTACCTTTTTAGTGTCAAATAAATGTTAACCCCAAATCTGCTTGGCTCCATTTTTATCTCTGTAAGTGATATGCAAAGTGATCATAATTGTTGCAACTTGATGAAAATCCGCAAAGTGCTTCACACGTTGAACATGCTCGTGAAAACGGAAAAAAATATCCTCGACACCGACGCGTTACGGTACGAACATAGTGGAGCGACGAGGTTTCAGATTCAGATATCTGGTAGCGTCTAGAGCGTAGAGGCAAGAGGCACCTATGGTTATAGTAGAGCGTCGCGTTTTGTCGAAGATAGACGTAAAAATATGTATTCCGACAGTGACGATGACATTCTTCTCAATAATACTTACCTGCAAGTGCTTTTAATGACTGGAGTGCGGCAGTGTAGTGTGCACGACGTAAATAAAAGTCGGAAACGCCTAGGGGAATTCCATCATTTATTTCTAGAACTGAAAAATTATCCCGACAGGCTATTTGACTACATTCGAATGGAACTTGCCACCTTTCAGTATATATTAGAACAAATTACACCCTGCATCAACAAGAAATGGACAAATTTTAATCAAGCGCCTATAGGAACCGAAGAAATGTTGGTGGTAACAATTCGGTAAGAGAATATTATGTATTAAGGATAATACTTTTATTATTCATAAACAAACAAACGGTAACGCAAAATAATATTCTGTCTTCTGAACACAACGAACGATAACTTATAATAACTTATAATGTTTACTGATCTGCGTAATTAAACCCCTGCAACAAATGGGATGAATGTGCAAACGATGTTTGTGGTTGAGATGTATATGTCGGGCTATGATTAACAGAATGACTGACATTGATGGTGGACTGATTGTTCGAGTACTCTTCATAGGCATACTTCTGAACCAAATTTTGAATTTCATTGCGGAACTGAAGTTTTCGATGAGGCCTAATTTTCACCACGTGGGGCAAAAGGCTATCAAAAAACAGTTTATCGTCATCTGTGACTGGTAGGGCTCTGCCACGGTCTGCAGCGACACGTTTCTCATCTAAATATTGTAGTTTTTTCTTCTCTATCTCAAGAAAAGCGTCAAGTTGATTTGACCGTTTTCGGGCCCTATTCTTTAGAATAGTTCGTGGTTCTTTTGGTGTGCTTTGAATTGGAGTGACTGATTCTGTGTGGTCGGGTTCTGTTTCCTGCGTTTCTACACCCTGCGTTTCGTCCATTTCGTCTTCGTCATAGTCACCATCATTTTCATCCATCTGCGTAGAGGGTGTCGAAACTTGTGTGTCATTGTCGGGATCCAACAGGTTGCTATGACTGGATCTCGGCAGAAACTGGTCTCTCAGAAACAATAAACTTTTGAAATGAGGCCAGGAGCTCTTTTTAAGAGCCTCTTCGCCTGGATCACCAGACCGGGGCAGAGGTATTTTCTTCAGTTCTTTTCTGAAATAATCACGTAGATTTTTCCACTTCTCAGAAACTTTCTTAACTGCAACAAACAAAAATTTTCAGATATCTTGCAACAGGAGCGTCCTTTAGACACTTGGCATTTTCCTTTCGAATGGGCAGGAGTACTGTTGCGAGCATTATAAAACATATGATTAAAATATTATGGAACATGCTGCAACCACTTCACATGCCAGAACCTACTACGGCAACATTTTTAAATGTAAGTGCAGACTTCATGAAAGTATGGAACTTCCCCAATTGCATCGGAGCTGTTGACGGCAAACACGTCAAAGTTATAGCACCACAACATTCCGGATCCATGTACTTCAATTATAAGCATTATTTTTCTATCGTCCTACAAGGAGTTTGCGACGCAAATTACAAATTGCTTGTGATAGATGTCGGAGGTTACGGCAAACAGAGCGATGGGGGAACGTTTCAGAGTTCCAATTTGTACAAACGGATACACCAAAACAAACTAAATGTGCCAAATCCAGATAGTTTACCAGGAACAAATGTCCGCGCTCCCTACGTATTTATTGCAGATGAAGCGTATCCACTAATGCCCAATTTGCTAAAACCATACAATCGAAGGAACCGCTCTTTGGAACATATAAATTTTAACCAAAGATTGTCCAGAGCACGCAAAACTATCGAGTGCACCTTTGGAATTATGTACGCGAAGTGGCGTCTTCTGTCCAAAGCTATAGAGACTACTGAAAAGACTGCGGATGATATCATTAAGGCGATATGCATTTTGCATAATACAATACTGGACCGAGAGGGATTTCAACGACATTTAACATTAGTAACTGATGCAGTTCCTAGAGATCAGATGTTTGAATTACCTAGAGGAAGGCAACTGGGTGAAGGTCAAAGAGTTCGCGACATTTTCTGTAACTATGTTAATTTCTTTCCAATCAGTTACGAGACAGCTTAAAATTTTACCGCAAGATGTAAGTTCTAGCTGTTGAAATGTGTATAAAAAACAATTATTTACTTACCCGACTGATTATTGCATTCATTGGCTACCTCCTCCCATAACTTATCTAGCACGTATCGGTTGCGATGATCTGGATGACTCTGATCCCATATAGCCCTTCTGTGATATACACTATTTATTAATTGCACAACATCCATTATTAAATCGCTTGAAAACGCGTGACAAAAATTGAATGCAACTATTTAAAACTCGTCGCTCGAAACCTCCTAGAGACTCGACGCATGCCTTATCGCGCTACTATGGCCCGACAGGTTTCAACCTGTGTTTTTGACTCACATAGCGGCAAACCGCGCGGTTAGCCTCTATCTGAATCTGAAACCTCGTCGCTCCACTATGTTCGTACCCTTATGCTTTCTCCCGACTACCATGATCTCAAATAGCTTTATAGTTAATATGGGAGCGCTACCGTTTCTCGTCTAGATTATCATTAAACTAACAGCACAGAAATAGTGATATTATTAAAGTTTTTTCATCTCCTCATCGTTTGAAGTAGGTAATAACGCGTTTCCTCAAACAATAATTTAAAATGGTTTAGAAGCACATATACGACAAACTGGAGTAACGCTGAAACACGGAAGACGTGAAAAAAAGTGATTAGGTTTTCGCAAAAACATGGGAATACTTGGTTATCATTAGAGTTCTTGCTCTTGATAGTTTTTGTAGCTGGACGTAACTGTTACGATATAATAAATCACTTGTCGCTCATATTACAGTCGCTGAATTACCGGAGAAAGGTGAGACTTACGATATATAATATATATAATCGAGATTTTTTTGTGTTCTTGATTGAATTTTTTGTTTGCTCATCTTCAGCTGTAATGTATTTGCGATACTTCCTGTAGAGTCTCATTTGGCCATCGTCAACGAGACTGGATGAATTGGAATTTCCTACTTGGCTTGCCACGGCACGAAGTTCCACTATACAGGGTGGCCCAATGATAAATTCTCACCCCTATCTGTGATTCTCCTGGTAGATTTTTTGAAGAACGTTTGGACATGTCACTTTTTATTTCTAGGAGGACGTCTTTTCATCTATTGCCGTACAACACAGGGTGATCCAAAAATAAAATATTGGGATTTTTAAAATTTTCAGATTTTCCATAAAGTTTTTGTATAATAAGCTTTATACCTATCTGCAATCATTGTGAACCTATTTGAGTTTATAATAAAATTCGACGAACTTGACTGAATACTAATAATAATGGAATACTCGGCAAAAATAATAATCATGGATAATAAGCAAGAACGTGTAGCATCAGTCAGTGACATCATAAAAAAACTGTCTTCCATTTCAAATTGTTTAGTTACTTACCTAGTTGTGATCAATATTGAGCAATGACTTATTCACTCCAAGAAAGGGTAGAAATAACAAAATTGTATTACCAAAATTTGCAAGAGCTACTGCTCGGTTATTTAAATCGTTACAACCAGACAAAGAAAGAAAATTTGAAGAAACTCGAGCTGTGCCTATTCTTCACCGTAATCGCCATAAAAAAAACGACCAGTTGATAGAAGGTTGGAGTTTTACCAATTAATGTGCCAACGTTCAATCAACAATGCAAATATGTTATTTAATATTTTATACGTAATTGTCGATATTGGAGTGACCCGAATCCGCATTTGTAGCTCCAGTACTGCGGACTTTGGACACCCATTTCCCGAATCAGTCGATCGGCAGACGAGGCCCGATCGAATGGCCGCCGAGATCTACGGACCTAAGTCCTTTAGATTTCCTTCTTTGGGGGCATTTGGAAAGTAAACTTTTTGATACGAAGTCCATTCAAGGCCATTGGGCTGGATTACGGCTGAATTTAGACAAATAACACGACATGCTTGAAAATGTGAGGAATAGATTCGAACAAAATCTTTATTATTGCATTGAGGAAGATTGACACCACTTCCAGCACTCATGACCACATTGACCTACTTCTTTCTGTCTGCTCTTTCCCTACTCTCAATGCAACAACGTGCAACTATACGGTACTAGGTGAGTATAAACTTATATCACAATCAAATAATTCTTCAATAGTATAGACAGATAGAACATTCTTTAGTTCATTCTCATCCTGACTGGAAGGTGATTGTACAGCCTTGTCGCCATAGTTATATAAATCCTATGAGTAAAGGCCAGTCTGTGTTGAGGAGTAATTATGTGGCAAGTAGGTCTAAGGCATGTTTTTTTTTCGATTTATGAGATTCTTACGTATTCGTTGAGAAGACTGCTATATAAGCAATTCAGTCAAAGCTCTATAAGTAGATATATAAAAGAAATGCCTTACGTATGCGTTGAGAAGACGGCTAACAATGCAGTCAAAACTCTATAAGTATATATATGAAATAGATGCCATTAAAATCACAATTAAAATTGAGGGTACGATCAAATTCGTCTAGTCTCCTTGGTGAAAAAGCTTCGTGTTGATTTTATATAAGGGGCTGTTCAAGTATTACGTGAGCACTATGGGGGGTAGGGGAGTCTAGATGATGATTACGTCATCGGTAGTTTATTTTACACGAATGGCAACCCTCACATTGTCTTTGCTTGAAAACGAAACCCCTTTTTGGGGATTCCCGCAAATAATGCATACGTTTAGTGAACAGCGCACGGTAATTCCCCTACTCGCTTTAGAACCGAGTAGGGGAATTACCGCGCGGTGTTCACTTGTCTAAATTTCCTCTATCAGTGTATTGTTTCATTTGGATCTGATAGCGAGTAGACGTTTTGTAAGCATAGTAAAGCAAGTTAACATTTGTGTTACCATTGATTCCATTAGCCAAAGTTTAATGTTTAAATAAGACGTCGTTTCACATAGACAAATAGTTATACCAAAAATTGTTTGAAAGTTTTAAAAAATCTCATACAAGTACGAAAGTACAAAATGTCCAAAAGTTAGTTAACGAAGTGTGGCGAAATTACAAATTACAAGCAAAATCCGACAAGGAACTAGATATTATTGTATCTAAGAGAATCGAAGAAGAATTGCAAGCGGCGACTAAGAATGAATCCAATCTACTAAATTTTTTTTCTAAGGTGAGTGGCGAGATCATTTTAGGTACCTATGAGTACTAGAAATATTAGAAATCGCCAAAAAGTTTATCTTTACTGATTAGAAAATATTATGGCCTATCTCAAAGTATAGAGGTAATATTCATTATGTTATAGATTTATTTGTTATGATTGATTCCGTCAATGGGTCACAAAGTACAGGATGTTAGTTTTATGCATATATACAGTAAACTATCACCCTGTATTTTGTGACCGAAACGAATTGCTCATTTAGACATATTAGATTTAAAACCATAGGGTTTTGTATTTACCATATATATTGCCATACTTTGTATTTATGTAGCTTAATAAGAGAATCTTTAGCAGAAGCGATAGAAAGTTTTTATTTTTAGGCAACCTGTAAACCCGCAGAAAAAGCACAAATTATACAGTCAGCTTCAAATATTAAAAAAGAGGAAGAAGACAACATAAAACCCGGTAATGAATCACAAGGCACGAGGCAGCAGCGGTGGCCGCAGTAGTAGACTCTTCGGTCTCCTGATCAGTCGCCGTGCGCTGTGCGGGTTCGAGTCCCGTCCCAGGAGAAATTGTTGTGATTATCCGTAGGTGGTAGATGGTCTCTGACTGTCGAACGCGGAGGTACCACCCGGCGGATCTTGTAGGCGGAGCCAGAATGTGTGCATGTTGCATGCACACGTGTTCCTCGCCAGAGTCCGTGTGGCGTTCCCCCTTTCCCATGTGTCCCCCTATAGCCCCACCCAATGGGTGCTTAGGCCTTAGGCCTTCGTGGTGGTTGGAGTATAAAAAAAATGTGGAATTTCGTAACGATGCTGGACCACTCAGGAAGTCTTTTTGAGCAGAATTCCTACCCATATAGGAGATTAGATCTAACAGCATCGGTACCGCTATTCCCACTCCTCGTGTGACTTCTCAAAGGATGCAACACCTGATCCGTTGTTTCCCAGCCACACAGGCGGGACAAGCCGACAGATTCAAATGCGCTCTAGCATCGCACGATGAAAAATAATTACAAGCAAAGTCATTAGTTGATTTATCTTAACACGATCTACACATCTAATGTTTTTATAAGAGCCGGTGTCACGTTACACTGCGTCGTTGTCGTACCGACTGACTTATGGCGCAAATTAACTGGGAAATTTTTTACTTTTCGCACACCGAGCATACGCTATAAATTCGCTTTTAGTCAACGGACAAACGGACTAATGTTTCTTCTTCACAGGGCGAGGACAGGGACAGGATGACTGGCCGCAGCATCGAGATAGTATCTATCCTATTACAATTTATTTTGCTATATCTTCGCCTCTACTCCAAAATATTCTCCAAATTTGTTTGCTGCGTTATCGCTCTCAATCTTACCATAACTGGGATGACCTTCGCACTGTAAATATTCCTCTGCTTATTATGGGTAAGAACAAAATTTGCTGACTTAAAGACGCAAGATGCTTACTTCCATAATACCAGAAGCAGGGACTTATTAATGCTGTGGCAAATAGTTAAAAGGGAACAAGTCAATGTTTTCAACTTAGGGGCCGTTCAAGTATTACACATTATATTATTGGAGAGTCTTACACTTTGGGGTTGCAAAGTCACCCTTGTCTGTTGTCCAAGAGTAGACCTACACTGTACTGATGATTAACTGCTAAAAAGCATAAATCAACGTTGTATGTGGTTGGTCATGTTACAGAGACTAAAAGCAAATAGTGTCTTGTTCTAGATTTTCAAATATTTCGAAACTACCTATGATTAGTACAACAGCCCAGAGATCAAATTGAGGTCATAGAAGCAAGTCCTGACATACAGAAATTGACAAATTTGAAATGGTTGCAAAACACGGTGCTTCCCAGTACAACTAAAATTTAAATTTTTTTAAGAAATACAATTTTGAAATTTGGAAAAAAATTGACCTGCAAATTTAGAAAACAATTGAAAAATTTGAAAATCTGGAAATTAATTTGAAGATTTGTAAATTATGAATAATTTCGAAATTTAAAAAAAATTGGAAGGGAATTTAGATTTAGGTCAGATTTCACCAACATTAATATTATAGACCAATGGGAAAATACCTTATCGAAATGCAATTTGACAGAAGCTGTCAAAGGTCTCAGAATATCA